ATATTTTATGGTTTTATTTCCATTCGTGTGCACAGTAAATGCTTTAAAATTGGGCTTGAATTATTCAGCTAACAGCGAATTTATTATTTCAGAGCATTGAAATAATCTTCAATGTTACGGAACTCCAATTTTTGAAAAATGTTTGGTGTTATAAGTAGAGACGTGTGGTAGCTGGGAGGAAATTTCCCTTCGATTTTATATCCTGTCACGTGGTTATAAAAGCGCGCGAATATGCGTCACGTGATGTAAACACAGTCGGCCCTGCTCAAAGCGTGAATAAAATGGAATTACTATACTTATTTATTTTCAGGCAAGTCCTTTATTTATATAACATAACAATTTCTTCATAAATAAACATCGAGTTGCATTTCGACCCAATTTACGGCGAATATGAGTCACAGGAACTTGGAATGGATTTTTCTTCTTGTGTAGAAATGGCGTCATAACAAGGCAAAACTAGATTACGTCAATTGAAGCGTAAAACTTACAAAAAATGCATGGTATTTCGAAATGCGGACAAAGCACCCCCGACCGATCGAAAGATCGTTCAATTATCTTTCTAATATTAAAATTAAAAAATAATATTAAAAATAGGAACCGCCGCCAAGCATTTGAAGTGGGGTACCCTCGTTTCAAAACGTGACAAAAATTTTCAGCGTAATGTCAAAACACAGGAAATTGACGTTTTTCAACTTACGTTTATGAAATTAATAAAATGAACAAATATATAAAAAATATATCAAACAAAAGAACAGGATATCTGCTTCTAAAATATTTAAAAATTGTTACAAAAGATTAAATAGCCACTATTTGACGTTAAGTTAAAACCAGCGGCTGCCAGGCAGGATACGCCCACATTTTCGAGAGATGGACAGAGAACAAGCTAACAAGAAAGTGATTTTTCCTACTATCAAGGGCCATAATTCAGGAAATTACAATTCAATATGCGCGAATATCGAAAGGAACTGAGATCTTTGTGTTGTAAACTTATATTTCAAGTTTCAACAAAATCGGATAAAAATTGTGACCTCTATAGGGTCCACAACCTTGATATACCATATTTTTACGCTATTTGAGAACGAACGGCGGCCATTTTGTCTGTCAATTTTGGGCCGATTTTCACGAAATTCGATCTCAACCTTCCTTAGTGTGTAACGGTGATATAATAATACGATTTTTTTAAATCGGATAAAAATTATGACCTCTATAGGGTCCACAAGCTAAAAACGTGATTTTTCGTACAATCAGGGACCATAATTCAGGAAGTTACAGTCCGATATGCGCGAATATCGAAAGGAACCGAGATCTTTGGGTTATAAACTTACATTTCAATTTTCAACAAAATCGGATAAAAATTGTGACCTCTATAGGGTCCACAACCTTGATATACCATATTTTTACGCTATTTGAGAACGAACAGCGGCCATTTTGTCTGTCAATTTTGGGCCGATTTTCACGAAATTCGAACTCAACCTTCCTTAGGGTGCAATGGTGATATAATAATACATTTTTTTAAATCAGATAAAAATTATGACCTCTATAGGGTCCACAAGCTAAAAACGCGATTTTTCGTACAATCAGGGGCCATAATTCAGGAAGTTACGGTCCGATATGCGCGAATATCGAAAGGAACAAGATCTTTGGGTTATAAACTTACATTTCAAGTTTTAAAAAAATCGGATAAAAATTGTGACCTCTTTAGGGTCCACAAGCTAAAAACGTGATTTTTCGTACAATCAGGGGCCATAATCCATGAAGTTTCGATCCGGTACATGCCAATATCGAAAGCAGCCGAGATCTTTTGGGGATAAACCTATATTTCAAGTTTCGTCAAAATCGGATAAGAATTGTGACCTGTAGAGAGTCCACAAACAATTGTGGACAGACGTCCGGACGGACAGGGGCGACGGCATAATACGTCCACATGAAAATGTGGGCGTATAAAAAGGGTTAAAAATCGGGAAAAAACGACACTGTGACACCTATTATAAACATAGATTTTAAGTTTCATCAAAATCAGATAAAAATTGTGACCTCTAGAGTGTCCACAAACTAAAAACGTGATTTGTCGTACAATCAGGGCCATAATCCATGAAGTTTAGGATCCGATACATGCCAGTATTGGAAGGAACCCGAGATCTTTGGAATGTAAAAATTTATTCTATAACTACATGCAAATCAGGGTTTTTAATCCATTTTGAAACGAATCGGCCAGAATTGGGTCAAATGAGGTCCCGGTAGATCCATGAAGCTAGGATCCGATACATGCCAGTATTGGAAGGAACCCGAGATCTTTGGAATATAAAAATTTATTCTATAACTACATGCAAATCAGGGTTTTTAATCCATTTTAAAACGAATCGGCCAGAATTGGGTAAAATCAGGTCCCGGTACGAACTGGGTTTTAAAATTTTAAGCTTCCATTCCCTTTAAAATAATTCTTGGTAATTTGTTACGAGGAATATCGTATTCTACTGTATGTAATTACAACAAATAGCCTATAACGTCAAACAGGTACACCGATTGCAAAACTGTCCATATTAAATTCACGTACCGGCTTGAAATTCATGTCAGTAATATTCTGAATAAATTACTGTATTCGTTTTTTTTTTCAATGGATATAAGTTGATACGGCACCATGGTATTTCTTCATAACACAATTTGTAGATTTTTTTTTCTATCGCGTAACTTGCAAATGTTTTTATTCATTTGTCCATGATAGACACACGGCACAGTGATCATGTGACAACCATAATTGAAATGGCTTTAAAATTAAATTCCATACGACTATGCCATACAGCTTTCAATAATATTGACAATATTTTAAAAATCAAGCCTCTGTCAGCATGTGTATAAAGGAAAAAAATCATAACGGTAAACGCTATTAAAAACTAAAACTAGCATCACTGGTTTACTGACCTAATTCTAACCAATGTCACATGTCATATTCCGCATTGGAGATTCATAATATATCATTAATGACTGTTTCTCGGTGTATTCGGTGTTCTAGTTGTATTCAATGTCTTGGACACATACAACCTTTGTCCAGAATGACGTCACTTTCTGAATTACGTCAAACTGTAATGATGTCACCACTAGACATCTACAATTTTTGTTAAAAGGAAAGAATACTTGCGCAGGGATATACTCTCTTGCATGGGCGCAGATCACGGTGGGGACACCGGGATGCGTCCCCACCAATATTTTTAGTGGTGGGGACATGATATACTGTGTCCCCACCACTTATTTCCGATGTTTTGCTTACTGTTTATTTTTTGAAATTGAAATCATTCCAGAGCTTTTATTGACATTTCAGAAAGTGTAGAGTTGGTCCCAGGCACTTGAGGCCAGGGTCCTTAAAGTTGTACAGCTGCACCAGGTGACCGATTCACTTGATTTGATATTTGTTTATTTGGTGCAATGTCTATTTTCTGTCTTGTCCGCAGGGTTATCTTGTAGATTTTTGTTTTGCGTGTAGTGCGGTCCTCCTGCACTTACTATTAAAATATTCCATAGGGATTATAATAATATGTATATCATGTAGGTGTGCATATCTGATACGCTGGGTATTAAAGGGTTGAGGAATAACTGAGATTTTGTTTTTATCGGGTATACTGGATGATAAATCACCTAACTAAAGGATTTAGTTTGTATATCAGGGGAACCCTTCATTGCTAGATTTGCTGCCATACTAAATAAACGTATTTTTAAAGACTGGTTTCTATCTTTCTCTGTGGAATATAGGCAATTAAATCTAAAATTTAAGACTCGAACGCTCTATTTTTTTGGAGTACAGTAAGCTGAGCCAAGAATCGTGTACTTATTATTACAAGTTAGTGAAATTTTTTTGAAGATGGTTTAGAAATTTAGGAATCTTATCGGAAAAGACATTTTTTAAAACCTGTCCTGGGCCGTCCAGAAAGAAGGGAAAAGAAACGGGTAGAGTGGAGATAAGTATACTGTTCTTTAGTTTTAAATATATTTATTAAACACTTTATTGAATGTTTTTTTTCGATTAAAAAAAGTGCTCTCTGAACTATTTTGTTATTGGTAAAAACTCCTCAGAATCGCTGAGAATGCATATTTAGACACCATTTTTTAACAAAAATTCAAAAAATTCTAGAAGACCCCCCCCCCCCTCCCAGCACCTCACGCCAGCGGCGTTCGGCTATATAGTCGGTCCTTCTCTTTCACAAACGAACCCGCCCACCTTGCTTCCAGCCTATGGGCCTGACTCTGTATGAACACTTATAAATTTCTAAAGACAAATGATGCTGAAAATACCTACAGAGTGCGTTTTAGAGCGTCTAGTTTTCAAAAAATTTTGGGGGAGTACCCCAGACCCCCCCCTCCTCTTTACCAATAGTCGCCCGCGCATGGACTGTCCCCACCACTATTTTTTGGCGATCTGCGCCCCTGCTCTCTTGAACCATTGAATAACCCGAGCGGTATTCAATGGTCATTGAGTTCTATCTATACATTTGAAGTTTCGCTAAAATTACTAAAATCAGATAAAAATTGTGACCTGTAGAGTGTGCACAAACAAAATGTGAAAGGACAGACAGGGGCGACGACAATATATGTTAAAGTAAAGAAAGAGGAATCCAAAACCATTGGAATAACATAAATGTTGATGGTATCCAAGTCATAATAAACTTGATACAGTGACACCAGTATTTGTGTAGGTATGTTCTCTGAGGAAGTAAGTTTTCTAATTTATAAAAGATGGTTTTGTAATACCCATGTCTTTGTTTATAAAAAAAAAATGTCAGACAAAAATCTGTAACTTTCACATTCACAAGGTTTATGGAAAAAAAACTAAAAATCAATAGGGTTTCGTCCTCCAACTACCCCCAGTGCTTCACACCCAATTTGCAAAAACATCCGTCGAAAACTGTACCCTCTATCGATTTGACAAACCAATTGTTGATCCGACAAGTACGACATAATAAACCCCATATTGAATTTCAGTGACTGAAATGTGTGCGTATAAAAATTACCTGCGTTCCTCTTCTTCCAGTAAAACTTTTAAAGTCTCTATTTCTGTTTTAAGAGGAAGATTAGCATCTCTGGCACTGTTGGCCTCTTGTATTTTAGTAAATAAAGCATCTTCTAAATCTTGTAGTTTACTTTCTAGTAATTTAGTTTGATCCACAGCTCTTCTTCTCTCTTCATTGACCAAATCTTCTAATGATCCTTTCTGTTGTTCTAATGCTGATATCTAAGAAAAATAACCACAATATAAATATAGTGATCACGTTTCATAACTTGACATTACTTTTAAAAACAAAAATTTCTACACTTCTGAAATGGAAACTTCACAATATTTTTCCAAATTTTAACATTTTTGATTGAATTCGATCCCAAATGTGATATTTAAATTTACCTGTCCTTCAAACGATCTTTTTTTAGATTGTAATTCTCCTACAAGAGTCTGTAGCTGATTCTTATCACTGGATAATCTGTTAATAGTCTCTTTGTCTTGATCCATATGATTCTTCAATATTGACATCTATAATAAGGTATAAAAAACTAGACATACTCCTATGTAACATGGAGGAAGTGAACAGATCTAACTGGAAGGAACTTCAAAGAGGAAACTTGAAGAAACTTACTTCTTGAGAAGCGACTTGAGGGAAAACTGGAGACAACTGAGAGGTGGTAATACAACAGAACCTCAGAAACCTAACTTAATTGAACAATACCATAGCGTAAAACCTCAAATATTTATAAACAAGCGGTTGCCATACAAGATAGGCCCACATTTTGCATGAGATGGACAGGGAACAAACTAAAAACTAAATGTTTTTTTTTGTACAATCAAGGGCCATTATCAAGGAAACTATGGTTTAATTACATTGAAGTATCGAAAGGAACCCAGATATTTGGGTTATAAAGATATAAAGTTTCAGCCAAATCGGATAAAAATTGTGACCTTTAGAACTAGAGGGTCCACAATCTTGGTATTATATTACATACTTTTACACTATTTGCATATGTGGAGCGGCATTTTGTTGGGCAGTTTCCGTCTGTCTCAACTGTCTTTATGGTGCAACGGTGATATAATGAAACGTTTTTTTAAATTGGATAAAAATTGTGACCTCAAGTCAAGACTCAGAGGGACTACAAACTAAAAACTTGATTTTTCGTACAATCAGGGGCCATAATCCAGGAAGTTACGGTCCAATATGTGCAAATATCGAAAGGAACCAAGATTGTTCGTATATAAACATATACTTTAAGTTTCATCAAAATGGGATAAAAATTGTAAATTGTACGAGTCCACAACAGTGATGGGATTTCAAAAATTTTCTTGTCGGACAATTTTTACCGAAAATAAAGGGACATAACTCTTGTTATTTAAGAGGGCAGTTTTTAGACCACACACAAAAATCACGTGTAAACAAAATATTCAAATTCGTCCGTAATAAAAAAAATAGGTGCACCTCGTTATTTTTCATATTTAAAGATACATTATGGGAGACTTTTATAGAGAGTTGGCCATTTTTGCTATAACAGTTCAAAAGTAGACGATGAAAGAAGAATATATTGAAAATTTCAGTCAAATTACTTTATTCTGAACAAAGTTATCATCGTTGTAATATTTGACTAGAAATGGTAGTCAAATGTATCTTCACCTTGGCCGATCGTTTGATTGACAGGCGTTAACTCCACCTATATAATCTCGATTATCAAGTAACGTTTTCAATGGCTTGAGACGGGGTTGCAGTTCAATTCGTAGCACATTTATTTTTACTACAAATTAAAAATAAGACTTTTACAGTAGAATCTGTATGAGCAGCCACTCCTATTCAGCGACATCTCCTTGTAAGCGGTCACGATAAATTCCCCCCGTAGAAATTCTGTTGTTTCATCTCTTTATTCAACGGTCACTCCTCTAACGCGGCCAGCGGTCACTATTTTACTAATAAATTCAACAAAACTTCGCCCATTCAACGGCCATTGTTGAATGATACCATCTTGTCGTTCTTTGTAACACCCCCGCTAATCCCGTGAGTAGTAGTTAATTAACTGGACCCCCACTGATCAGGTAAAAAGAAATGTAAACATAACAATCAACCCGGGATTATCTGTTAATTAATCTTTTGTTTTATTAAACGACTAACCTGATCATTGTTTTCACGCGTAACGACACATTATTTGATACTGATTGAATAAAATAAAAGTACCGAGTTTTGTCACGATCATCTAGTATCTCTCTTAGCGCCTCCTATAATATTACATACAGAGTTACACCCCCTGTAAAAAGAAGATAAAATTAGCGATGTTTTTTGTTCATGTGCTTTTTTGATAAAATAAAATGAATTCATCGATTTTCTTCACAAAAATGGATAAATATTATCGAATGCATCACAATGGTAGACAGTAGTATCGAAGGTTGGTACAAAATGACAAGTTTACAGAAGTTATGTCCGAGATTTGAGTAAATAATTTTCGTTCGGCGCAAGATTCAGCGACGGCCAAATTTACCTCTTCCAATGCATCCAAGCGTAATGTTTAATTTATGTCGGCACAAAAAGCAACGAGATTTTATTAAGAGGCCACTCCCGTTAAGCGGTCAGTTGTGAAAATTCCCTTGGGTGGCTGCTTAATGCAGATTCTACTGTATTATATAGATAAGAAGCGAAAGTTTGAAAGGAATGGACCAAATCAATAAGGCATAATTATAGTCGACTTCTAGTTAGCCTGCGTGTACTCTTGTACTGTAATGTGACTACGTACGGGACTCCCATAGCAGACAAATAGAAAACACTACAGTGATCCAATGGGGCTGCAATTCAACTTGGGTGATGTTAGCTGCGATGTTTATCAATTTCCATAATTTTTCTGTAAACGCAAGTGACAAAAGAGCGTATAATCCCGACATCCAAACTCTCATTTTAACCACAACTGAACATAATATCAAGGCCGTATATATCAAACATTCAATCAAATTGACTGACATGCGGCATCGCTCAACGGCGGCCTCGCTTCGTAAACTCTATCATTTAGCCTCGATCTAACTGATGACGTCAACGTAACGGTTAATAATCTCCGCATGGGCCGCCATTTATGATTTAATCAATCAGTGAAATCCTATTTAAATCCAAGCTGTAACCGAGCCATCCGTGGGTCTACAGAGTTGATTTGGGGCTTGTTGTTTAAATAAAGATCTAATTTATAATTTCTATAACATCTGAAGCCTAAATTAAGACTTGCAATAATCTGATTTAGCTCTTGCATAATGTATGTTTAATTCCCGTATGGTATTCAAATTTATGTCAGTAACATTCCTACAAAATTATGTGATGTCGTAATACGATAGAATGAAAGCGTGCCCACAACTGCTGATCCGTATCTTTTCAAATTCCTCCCAAATTACCGTATTTTTCGGGTCATAAGTCGCTACATTTTTCAGCAGAAGTCCAGCATTCGTCTTATACTCCGTTACGACTTATGTACAGAGGTTAAGAAAATGATATCCTGAAATTTTTTGAGCAATAAACGTCGCTCTACCAGAACTGCTAAATAATCGCATTCTACTCTAGCACGCGCTATCGTTTAAAACAATTAAGAACTTACACTATTCCAATTGACATATTCGTCAACATTGCCTTGATTACTTATTTCTTTATATAAACCCCATTCAAAATATGATCATAAATCCGGGAAAATTCCATCAAAATAGAATCTTTTCTTCGACATTAGATTAGACGCGTGTATTTTGTCACATATTCATTTCATAATTTCACGCGTCTCACGAGATTTCTAATACCGGTTCAGTTATCGTACTTTAACCGTCTGAAGCTGTTTTTCTTTCAAGTTTAATCAGATTTTCTTCAAACAAGGACAACATTGCTCTGAAAATTCTAAACACGCTTCGAACGACGCAATTTTGATAACTTCTTTCTAAAACCGGCAAGTTCGTAGGTACATATCACTTACTTACCGTCATACAGCTGAAGCTAGAGTAACGGAATCTGCCGAGGTTTGCCGAGTGCTGTAACCGCGTGCGATCAGAAACAAAGTTAGCAATGTCTAGTATTTTTCGGATATGTGTGTGTGTGTGTGTGTGTGTGAAATAGCTTTATTTAATGCTCACTTCCACGAATTATAAATATGACTGTCTATTGATCTGGGCATTATATACTCTTACAATATGTGACATCTATGACTAGTTTATACATATTGTCGGCTCACATCAATGCGATTAAAATGTCCGACAATGCAGAAACCACGAGGTCAGCACGGAGATTCAAATTATAATCACAGTTATTGGATTGATGAATAGTCCGACAAAGGGAAAACAACGGCTTCTGTTTAAGATTAGATTGATGAATTGTCCGACAAAGGATAAAGTCAGTCAATCAAGGTAGATTTTAATCAAGGTAGGTGTATATACGGTTTAACACGGTATAAGTCAATCAGTTATTAACTTTAAACTCTAGAGCTTTCACACGATTTTTAAAAGAGCTCAAGGGCCATAACTCTGGCAGTAATTATTAGAAATAGTTAGTTTAGTTTAAACTTATTTTATTGCATCGACATATCATTGTACAATACAAAAGGATTAAACAAAAGTTGAAAATCAATAGGCTTCTTTGTCTCATGACCATAAACACTGTGTATACATTTAAAGTCAATCGAATAGAGTGCCCACAAGATTTTTCAAAGTGATCAAGGACCATAACTCTGGCAGTAATTATTGGAAATCACTGAAAAGCAATAGGCTTCTTCATCTCATGACCTTAAACATTGTATAAATTTAAAGTCAATTGGATGTTAAGTTTAGTCTGTAGAGTGTCAACAAGATTTTTCAAAGTGATCAAGGGCCATAACTCTGGCGGTAATTATCGGAAATCGTTGAAAATCAAAAGGCTTCTTCGTCTTTTCAATTTTTTGATTACTTCCGGTATGGGGATCTTTGCCGGGATAGTTTTAACAACCGAATTTGGCACTTGAATGGTAACATGTCTCTATGATGATATATTATATCTTATCAGATAAAATCTCCCTGAGAAATCGTATGTTCAAAGGTGCCAAAAATGCCAAAATATCGAAAATAAAATTTTAATAACTCAATACATAGTTAGAATCGTAATTAGGTCAGATATCTGAATATATAACTTTTTTTGCAAATCTGTAAAAAATAAAAACAAGCGGTTGCCATGCAAGATACACCCACATTTTGCAAGAGATGGACAGAGAATGAGCTAAAAAAATAATGTGATTTTTTGTACAATCAGGGGCCATAATCCAGGAAGATATAGTCCGATATGCAGTGCTCACTCTGGGTTTCATTTTTTTCCGTCAATTTTTTATTTTAATTTATTAGCCATATATATTTTCCGCCAAAAAAGAACAAATATCTTAGATTTTTTGGAGTAATTTTTATACATATTATATCACAGTTTACAAAATGCTTTACTGCTTTGCAGAAGCCCATTTTTTGAAAGCTTTTTCAATATCTGGGGTAACCACTTTTAGTAACATTAAATTACACAGTGCATT